ACCCCCACCCGCCTCTCGGACCGAGAGCTGCGGGTGGCAGGCCGGGAGGGGGGGACGCGCACTCAGCGTCGCTATGGAAGCATCTACACGTTGAGGCTGGACCCCGGCGCCCGCACCTATTGGTATGGCCCCAGGCCCAAGTCCTGACCCTCCCTTCGTCCCGCTCGGCTAGACGGTGTCGCCAGCCATCCATCCACACCCTCCCCTGGCAGCCTCCTCCCCAGGCTGCTAGGAGGACCGAGCTCTGCCAACATGACCCTCCCCCTCATCTGCCCCAGGCCCCCTCCGACCTTTGGCAAAGGGGGTGGGGAAAAGACAGGACAGCTCTTAGTTTCCGGAAACCCGACTCGCTGGCCGACCTGGTGCACATCCTCAGCTACAGGGAAGAAAGCTGCCGCTCGGCCTCCCGCTCGGGGCACTGCGCCGCCCTGCTCCCGACTCCTGGGCCCCGCCCCGGTCACCAGCTGCTGCTCTTTGGAGGCTGCGACTCAGCTGAGCCAGAAGTGGCCGGGCACTGGGGTCATGGGAAGATTCAGGTATCGCTCACACCCTGCTTAGGGCGGAAGGCAGTTAGAACTGCGGCGCTCACACCCCTCCAGACAGACAGCCCTTCTTTCTCCCCGAGGAGGAAGCGCCTGCCGCCCCCCGTTTGACGGAGCAGCTAGCAAAGCTGGTGAGCAGTGGGCAAGGGTCCCGGCAGGGGCCTCGGGGCCTCCGGCATCATTCATGCTCAGTGGTTGGGCCCTTTGCTGTGCTGTTTGGTGGAGAAACTCTGACCAGAGCTAGAGACACCATCTGCAATGACCTCTACGTCTACGATACCCGTGAGAGCACATTTAAGGACTGGTGAGGGGGAAGGTGGGAAGACAGGAGAACCTGAAGAGCATAGAATGGGGTAGAGTGATGGAGGAGGGAGAAGGAAGAATGAGTTGACAACTTAAAGGAACACACAGAATATTAAATTTTGAAGAGGCCCAATAATCAAGTGAGGAAAAAAAGAGCGAGCCTTTGGTCTAGCTCTAGCCCCTGGGTGACCAAGTGCTACCACCCCAATAACCGCTTCCTCTGCCTCCCCCCACAGGCAGGGCTCCTTCCCTGTGGTTCCACTTCCCCTGTGCAGACCGAGCGCTGAAACGCGTGGGCCATCGGACCTGCCTTTGCAATGACCAGCTGTACCTGGTTGGGGGTTTTGGGGAGGACGGCAGGACAGCCAGTCCACAAGTGTACACCCTGGACCTCTTTCTCTAAAGAACGGTGCCAAGACACACTGCCATGCCGCTGTTTTATTGTAAACTCAAAGCATTATCACCAAAGCTACCTGCCTCAGGTCAAATGCTTATTAAATTTCCATCTAACAGTCAATATTGGTCTCTGAATCTTTTGGGGTGAGGGCAGTAAGTAGACACATCTGCCCTGGTCAGTGTGCTCAATGGTTAGAGTGTTGGCCCAGCACACAGAAGGGTCGATTCCCGATCTGGGACACATACTTGGGTTGCAGTTTCGGTCCCCGCCCCAGTTGGGTCAAGTCAGGGAGGCAACCAATCCATGTCTGTCTCTCCTCCTCCCCCGCCCCCCCCTTTCCTTTCACTAAGAAAACCAATGGGAAAAAATACCCTTAGGTGAGAATTAACAAACACAAAAGTAGAGACATCTTTGTATGCAAGGCAAAGGATAAAGCATGGGCCCTCCCCGATACTGTGGGCCATTCACCTGAGGAACCAAGGCCACCACCACATGCTCTTCCTGCCCATGCAAACCCCATCCACCAATCATATGCTCTTCCCGCCCCATGCAAACCATCCCTCACGGTGGGAAGAAAGCTTCAGGCTAGAGAGAAGCATTCTGACTAAAACATTTAATTAACAAAAAATATTATAATAGCAGAGAAAGTAACAACAATAACGAGAAATTAGAGTGGGAGTCAGGTAGGAAAAAATGCAAAAGCCTTGGTCCCTAGGAGACCAACACTCCGGCTGAGCTGGCCTTCGCCCCAGCTCCTTCTGAGTTTTCCTTGGCTGGCTTCTCGTCCTCGCCCATGAGCCGAATATTGTGCTTTTCCCGGAATTCATTTAGTTCTTTTCCCTTTGCCTGAAGCTGCTGTGTCAGTGTCTCAATGATCTTCTGAATCTAGAAAGCAAGGGACAGACGTTACATAAGGACTGCCATCCCTACCCTGGTGTGGGGTAGGGAAATGAAGAAGACACGACACCTCCAACCTCGCCTTTAACCAGGTAGGAAAGTAGAGCCAGACACTAAAATTACTCCTTCTCAAACACGAGGTTTCATAAACCTAGTGTACACAAGGATCCCATGGACTGCTTTTTTCCCCCTAATATATTACTATTGATTTCAGAGAGGAAGAGAGATAGAAACATCAATGATGAGAGGGAATCATTGATTGGCTGCCTCTTGCACGCCCCCCACTGGGGACCGAGCCCGCAACCCAGGCATGTGCCCTTGACCGGAATCGAACCCAGGACCCTTCAGTCCGCAGGCCGACGCTCTATCCACTGAGCCAAACCAGCTAGGACAACTGCTTATTTTTAAAATGCCACTTCATGGGCCCCAGCTCCAAAGGCTCTGAACCAGGACAGGGTCTAGGAAGCTGCATTTCAAATTAGTCCTCCAGGTGATTTGGACGCAGGTATCCATAGAAACACTGCTGTCACCACCTCTTTTCCCCAAATCAGCCAGGTCACAGAGCCCAGGGATAGAGGCGTACAGCCTCTGTCTAGGAGTTGGACCTAGTGCAGCATAAAGAGCAGAGGCTAAGAGGCTACTCAGACTTCCTGCCGCCTATCCCCTAAATCCCTGCCCTCCTCTTCCCTATCCCTTGGTTGCCCAGAGCTCTCCTCAGAGACTCTAGCTCACCTGCTCCTTGTTGTTCTCCAAGGCAGGCAGCACCTCTTTGACAGTGCGCTCCACCAGCACCCCTCCAACCATGCGGAAGCACTTGCGGGTCTCATCTACCTCCTTCAGTGTATCAATCACTAGGCTGGGGCAGGACAACAGACAGGGTCTCAGAATGCAGGCCCTGCTACTGCAGCCCTCCCTACAGAAACGTGCACCCAACTCCCCAGCTGCCTCACCTGTGCTCATTCAACTCCATTTCCAGCTCGGCTGCCTTGGATGCTAGGCCCCGCTGTTCCTGCCGAAGGCGATTGAAGCCAGCAATCACCTGAGGTGAGAGACATAGGAAGTGAGAGAGGAGGCAGTGAAAATGGCAGAGTCAAGACACAATATATTATCACAGGCTTTACAAGATGCAGTGGGGGACACCTACCTCGGAAAAGGAGAAGACACATGTTTGCCATTTCTAACTGAGGTCTGCCTAGAATTCCATCCACCCAACACTTACTGAGTGCCTCCGTGTGGCACCTGCTGGTCCACCTTGCAGTAACAGCTGGTGAGGAGTTGCAACTGTAATATAGGGTGGGGTGCAAAGCTACTGGATCACCTACAGAGGAGTGTAGACTTGCAGGTAAAGGGGAGTCAGGAAAGGCACTGTAATGGCTAGGTCCTGCCTGGGTCTGCCCAGCACCCCCCCCATTGGGGAACCGCCTCTCCTTAACACAGTGGGTTCTTGGGGGGAGGGGAGAGCACTAATCACAGGGTCTTGCTCCCTGACCACAGGGCAGTGACCTGTTCTGTGCTAGTTTCTCCACGGAATTAGATTCTGGGTAGAGATGAACAGGTACAGAAGTTAGTCAGAGCTAAGACACCTTGTTGTCCTTTGTGTGAACTAGTTATCTGACCTTTCTTTTTGGTGTTCAATTTTGTGAACTACCCCACCGTTCTTCTAAAATAATCCTTAAAAGAAACAAACAAAAAAGCCTGGCCCCGGGGCTTAGTGGGTTGGAGTGTCATCCTGATGTGCCATGGTTGTGGGTTTGATCCCCAGTGGGGGCAAGTACAGGAGGCAACCGATGGATGTTTCTCCCCCCCCCCCCCCCTAAAATCAATAAAAATATATCCTTGGGTGAGGATAAATATGTGAAATACACATTTCTTCCCTTTCTGTCTACACACACAAAACCATTAAGGAGGGGAAAGACCTCTCAAAGAATATACTCCAAAAGATTAAGAATAATTATCTCTTGCCCTGGCCGGTTTGGCTCAGTGGATAGAGTGTCGGCCTGCGGACTGAAGGGTCCCAGGTTCGATTCCGGCCAAGGGCACATGCCCGGGTTGCGAGCTCGATCCCCAGTCGGGACGTGAGGGAGGCAGCCAATCAATGATTCTCTCTTATCATTGATGTTTCTGTCTCTCTCTCCCTCTTCCTTCCTCTCTGAAATCAATAAAGAAAAAAAAAGAATAGTTATCTCTTGATAGCAAGATCATGGGTAATTTATTATTTTGTACTTTTTTCTGTGTTTTCTACATTTTCAATAGAATAATATATCCTGTGATTCCCTTACTATTTATATTAAAAAGTCCCAAATTGCCCTGCTCGGTGTGGCTCAGTGGTTGAGCATCAACCCATGGACCAAGAGGTCACAGTTCAGTTCCTGGTCAGGGCACAGGCCCGGGTTGTGGTCTTGACCCCCCAGTATCAGATGTGCAGGGGGCAGCTGATCAATGTTGCTCTCTCAACGGTGTTTCACTCTCTCACTCCCTCTCTCTTCCTGTCTCTAAAAGTAATAAAATATATATATATACATTTTTAAAGTCCCAAATAATTTTCCATGAAGAGATTCAACTTACTTTCAGGATATCTCCTAAATTATACTTGATGATTTAATTAAACTAACAGCCAATGCATTTCCTGAAGATCTATGCTTTCCCTCTCTCTCCTTTTCCTACCCTATTTCCACTGCCCCCCTTTCAAGTCTATCCAGTCCTCAGGGTCAGCTCAAATATCTGATATGATCACGGTGTAAGTGAAGAAAGAAAAATCTGATTCTCAAGGCCCTCAACTAAAAGCCCTGCTCTTCAAGTCACTGACTTTGGGTAAGTTAACTAAAGCTTCTGAAACTCGACTGTCCTTACCCGTAAAAGAACAATACAGCTCACTGCAAATGGCAGTGAGTAACAGAAGTAAGTGCAGTGCCCAGCACAGTGTGCGACTGCTTCCATCTTGTTTGTAAGGGACATATGTGGCTCAAAGTTGCAGCAACGACAGATCTTATATTTTTCATCCAGTGTTCTCTCTGGAACACAAAGGCCAGAGAGTGCTAAGCAAGAACAGTCTAAAATTCAATTATCACAACCCCTCAGTTTCTTTCATGGGATTCTTTTTCTCCACCACTGTTTGCTTCTTTTTTCACTTTCTGTGCAAACCTTAGATGACTTTATGGCTTTGTCTACCAGCCATGAGCTCCTAATTCTCTAACCTATAGCTCCAACTCAGATTTCTTTCTGTAACTCAAGATTTATAAATCTAACCACCTGCTAAATGTCTCTACCTGGATGTCTCACAAGAAACTCAAACCTAAAATTCTAAAATAAACTTATTTTCTCCCATTAACTTGTCCATCTTCCTATTGTCCCAATGGCACCAGCATCCATCAAAGACAGAAACCTGAGAAACATCCTAGATTACTTTTATCCCTTTTTCTCCATATCTGAGTCTTGTAGTCCAGTCCAAAATTTAAGTCTATCGGCATCCCAAGCATGTCAGGCAGTCTCATGCCTTTGTACTTTTTTTAAAAAATTTATTGGGGTGACACTAGTCTACATGAACATATAGGTTTCATGTGTGGATTACTGATTTACAAAACCTGTTTATAGGACCATGTGCCCACCACCCAAAGTCACATCTTCTCCTGTCACCTCATATGAGGACCCCTTCTGCCCCCACCCCCTCCCTCTGGCAGCCCCCTCACTGCTGTTTGTGTTCATGAGGTTCAGTTTTACTGTATGTCCCACATATGAGTGAAATCATATGGTCCTTAGCTTTCTCTGACTCCTTTCACTTCTCATAATGTTCTCAAGGTCCACCATGTTGCTGTAAATGACGATATTTCCTCCTTTCTTATGGCCATGTGTCTTTGTACTTTTAAATACACTGCTCACTCTACCTAGAAAACCCTCCACTTCCTTCTTTGCTTGACTAACTTCTCTCATCTTTTAGAACTGAGCTGAAGGATTATCTCTTCTAGAACACAAAATAACTAGCATTTATTAAGCACATGTTATATTCCAGTCACTGTGCAAAACACTTTGCATGAACTGTCTTGCCTAATAATCAAAATACAGTGATGAGGTAGGTACCATTATGCTTTTACAGGAGGGAAAGGACAAGAGTAGGAACTCACGGGTGGTCACAGATAGTGAACAGTATGAATATGATTCAAGCACAAGCATGCCCGACTCCAGTGCACTTCCTGTGGTCTTAGCACCTATTATCCCACAGCTTCCCCTTCCACCTGCTCCTGCCCCAATCCCATAACCTCATGCTTCTCTACCTGCCATAAGAAGAGCTGTGTAAATTTTTTTATTTTCTTTATTGATTAAGGTATTACACATGTGTCCTT